AATATCTTATTCTTTTGTTTAAATTTAATAAATTTTTAATATTCTGTGAAATTATAAAGTATAGTAATAACTATTTTTATTAATATTTTACTAAACATTTATATATAATAAATTTCTATATAAAACAATTTTTTTTAAAATCTCCTTTAAAATTGTATTATTTCCTTTATTTTTAAATGATTTAAATTATGTTCTTATATTAATTATGTAAGTCAAATTCCATTTATTTCTAAATTTTAATGAAGTTACCCTTATTAAAATTTATCCTTGTTTAAGTTAATTATATTTAATTAATTTTCTTCAATTTTTGAAGATTTAAATTTGTAATTTTTTTTTTTACTTCCAGATTTTTACATTTTTTGCGCTCAAGGGACCTCGAAATGTTTGAAAAATTTGAAAGTTTTTTCTATATATATGGTTGTTAATATGGGAATGGAGTAAACACGATTTTGTTCATCCACTTTGAAGCTTAATAACCTCTTTGTTTGTAGTCGAAAATTTTTGCAATTTGGCAGGAATGTTCGTATATTGATGTCATTAATTCTATTAAATTTTGGTGGTAAAAGGTCAAGAGAGTGAAGAGATAGAGGGGATTATATTTTGGACTTAATGAAGATTTCACTCGTTATTAACGTTTACAATTTTTCTATAAAACTTAAAATTAAGTTTTTTGCCATTTTATAATGATTAATAATATATAAAGTTTTCAAAATAAAATCGCAAACAGATGGCGACATATGTAATTTTAATTTTATCGCCGGGAAAGTTAAGCAACTCGTTTCTAAACTGGAAGCGAGAATTAACAAAATCAAATTAGCATAAACTAAACTTTTATTCACAACTTTATCTGTAGAATTATCGAAAGATACTACTTTAAATTGAAGCTAATTTAAATGTTTATCTTGTGTTAGATCCAGTGTAATGGAAAATAATTGTTTTGGCTTCGTACTGAATGCATACTGTAACGATTTTTATACAGTTTAATCAAGGCGTTACTGATTGAACTGTTTAGTTTCTATTGAAGAGCTTTAGTGGAAAGCTTAAAAAGAAAATTAAATCGTGAAATGAATGTTACAATATTAACTATACGCTCTAAACATTTCACAAATTGGATATCAGTCCTCTAGAGATGCTACTCGGCTTTATAATGTATAGAATTTCATTCAGTGATTGAAGTAAAAACGACAGCATTTGCGTTAGAAATCACTTTATTAAGGCCAATTATACATGTTTACTAAAGGATATTTTACACTAGACAACAGACGTTTCTGTTTTTAATGTATATATTTATATAAGTAATAAAGTAAAAGATAAAATTTGATCAGGATAACATTTCCACTAGCAGCAGTTAATTACAATATCAGTAAATACCTTTTATCTAAACACAGGACGGCTATAAGTAGGATTATTTTAGTTTAGTTTTGGTAAGACAGCTGGGAAAATTATGGGATTTTGGTCTATAATCTTGTATAGGAGACTAGTTGGATGCACTTTAATACTTTGGAAAAGATCCATTTACAAATTTATGGCTACCATTTGTAAATTTCATTAACTAAATTGTGCTATTACTTGCTTCTAGTTTTGCGCTTATCCATTCGTGTATCACGATAACACAGTTATGTATGTGGTGAATTTTCGTCTCTTCTAGTCCCACTGATCCCATACTGTAGTTAAGTAGAATAAATCGGAGAAGATCTGTCTGTCTGTTCGCGTGAAGTGACATTATAAATCTTTCGATTTAAGCTGAAAACGTACTAAAAGCACAGATCGCAATCTAGATCGCTCGATATAAACCCAGTCTATACATATACCGGATTTTATGTACTGTGCTTACATTCTGGAACTTATCAAGGATTTTTATTTGTTTACTGCAAGCTATCCTTCGTCCATTTTCATTTTATCTACTTGCTGTTTTATGTTCGAATGTATCGAACACGTTTTGAAAAAAAATTTATGTTCCTGCTATCTGAAAATACTATAAATGCTGTTCATTCCTGGCATTAACTTCATTGAGAGTCTTCCTAGTAGCTTATAGATCACAATCTTATGTTAAAATTTTAAAATATCTCAACCTCTCTAATGTAATTCGCATCAGAAATAATATATATGATAATATTTTAAAATTAAAACACTAGACGAACATTCTATACCCTATTAATAGAAAAAAGAAATTAAGATTTAAAAAAAAATTCCGTACGTATAAACAGCCGAACGATAATTGGCTAGCGAGAATTTAAATTCAACCAATTATCGCTCAGTAGTTTAACTGTTTTATTTTTATATTTCGCAAAGTACCACCTATATTCAAGGATAATTTTATCTCTTCCAATATTCAAATTTTACTGCACTCGTTACTAATTTATTACCTTTTTTTTTTTACCATAAAATTCAAGCTTAAGGTAGATAAGGGGACCAAAAAACAAGTAAAATTACCAACTGGTCTCCTATAACGTCATTTATTTTTTTCCCATAATACGACATTTGATAAACGTATAAGGTCTATGTACATATATAGCACCATTTTGAAATCAGTGTGCCAGGCATTGTGATCGGCACTGGAGAAGGGCAATTGTTTTTTTTAGACACAAAAATTGGCACAACATCTAATTGATTGGCACTTTTAGCGTTTAGATATTATATTAAACTCTTGTTACAACCAGCAATCGAGACTTTTGTATTCAAAAAACTTCATTCTTTCCATCAAAAATCTTCTTACCATTCTGATATACATACAAATTTCTTAAAATATAGAATTTTACAGCATTAAACTAATTTTACAATTATTTTTTTTTCCCATTATTCTTCTATTCTAAAATTTTAAATTTGACTTCTAGGCACTTTAATTTAATTGATTTTTTAAATATAATTAATTTTATCTTATCAAATAACGTTATACTTTATCATCATCATCATCATCATCACGCGATTCTTTACTGAATACAAAAAAAATTTCCAAAAAATTTCCTTCATTGTCCTGTTTGAGCAATCAAAGTTTCAAGGCAATATAGATTATTACACTAGTACTATACTACTTTAATAGTGTAATATTAACACGATTAATATATATATCTATATCTATATCTATATCTATATGTATGTATATATACACTCGATGGACCTCATTCATAAAGCCTTATAAATTAAATTCGTATAGAAATGAAAACTAATCAGTTCAGAAAAGGGGAGGAATACATTCAGAAGGCAAAGTTTATTGCAGAAAATTCAAGAAAAACCTGCTTAATGATATAAATTTAAGCAATTACAACAAGTGATATAAAGAAGGAGAAATCTTTTGAAAGAAATAATATAGAAGAGACTATAAATAGCTTGAAATTAATATAATAAAATTCAAGAAGTTTATAATATAATAATAGAAACAAATGTAGGTAACTACATAAAATATTAGGAAAAATACCTGAATAGATTGTTGATAACTTCTTAAAATCTCAGCCTAATAGAGTCAGTTATAATGAGAGTTAATATATCGTAGACTATATCCATTACATTATGAACAGAGAGGGTAGATTAATGATTAATTGCTGTATATTTATAAATTAAGTGCACTTAATTTAAATAGATTAGTACTAATTATTATATTTACATAATGTTTATGTAATTTGCATCATTTCTGTAGTGATTTTTAAATTCTGGTTATCCAATATAAATCAATCAATTAAAATAACAGATATATCATAAAATTGGTTAAATGAGAAGTTATTGTTAAAAATATTTTTAGTAATAACTTATTTAAATATCTCATCAGTAATAAAAAGCTTATAATAAGCCTACATATATTTTGAAGCATGTCAATTAGTTACACGAATTTAGAAACTTACAATCAAATTCATATTTGCAGTATTTAAAAGTATTATAATTAATTGCTTGTTACGTATTAATTAAAAACTTATTGTGATAATTTAAAGAATGGAGAAAAGTGCTTAGTTTTAGTTCAATTTAATATAAATAATTTGTTTAGACTTAATTTTAAGGAATAAAACTTGTCATTACCGTAGACAAGAATGTCGTGTTAAGACATGGAATTGATTAATGTTCGTCATTGTTGCACTATTACCAGCATCTGTTACTGGTATCAAACTCATTAAGTTTCAACCCAACTCTCTTCCTTTTAATTGTTTATTGCAACATTGTACTGTACTGCACATAATAACTACAATCTAAATAAGGGATATTAATAAACTTTTCTTTTCCTTTGGAAATTAAACCGTAATAAAACCTGTTTAGAATTTTAATTTTCTTTTTTTTTATTTATTTAAACAATTTTATCGAAAAAGAGATCTGAATTTTAATATTATGCTTAAAATTTTTGCAGTATTGTGAACTATGAGATANATTATAAATGAATTTTTTTTTTAAATGTAGGCTTATTATTGAAGAACATATATTAAGAAAATTAAGAAGTGTTGTAGTTTAGTTTTGATATTTCATTATACTTTGTGTACTGTTTCGTCGTCTTCATCCATCTAAACGGAAGAGAAAAATACGTAAATAATAAATAATTTAAATGATAATTTAAATGTAGGCTTATTATTGAAGAACATATATTAAGAAAATTAAGAAGTGTTGTAGTTTAGTTTTGATATTTCATTATACTTTGTGTACTGTTTCGTCGTCTTCATCCATCTAAACGGAAGAGAAAAATACGTAAATAATAAATAATTTAAATGATAATATATATCACATTATATAGGGTGGCCCAAAAGTCAGTTTACCGTTGTAAAGATTGGCTTGATTTTGTTTGTAGTGTATTAACACTAATCAATACATTACGTGGCCAACCTTTTGTGTAGCTCAAACCCTCGACCAAACCTCTAATTGGCCAGTGTGTTGGTGATGTGCGAACCCTCGACCAAACCTTTACATGGCTAGTCTGTTGTTCAGGCTTGAACCCGCTGCCAACTACTAGTATTAGGTGGTTTGACACTTATAGATCCATTATGAAGATTAAATTGCTGCTTTATATATAGACTTAAACCATGCAAAACTAAATTCTTCTTCTGTTCCTTTACAAACACTTGAAAAATACACAGTTAACTGAATTATGGGCCACCTTTTAGATGTACATAAATTAAAAATTAAACTTAGAATATATCTTCTTCACTTAGTTTATATTGGAATTATTATAAAAATTCAGTCACTATGCAAATTTTATCTTGATTGTGGAGTTTTTATTATATCAAACAATATTTTATAAAATTTATATCAATGTGACACTAAATCCTATATATATATATATTTGTATAGAAGTAATTTTTATTTCAAAATACCGGTATCGAGATATCATTGATTTGGCCACTCGATGATTTTTAGGACCTAGTTAAAGCTTATCTGTTTCTTTCATAAAAAGCAGAATAATATAAAATGGATAGGATTATAAAAGGCAAAAAAATAGAAATACTAGACACAAGAAAGAAAAATATACTCTGCAACATCATGATACGAACTATACAATTTCAATTCTATTTACTTCAGCTCAGTAATAAATAGTAAATAAAATTTTAAACAAGAAAAAAAAATATATATATATATATTATTACTTATCTTCTTCCTCCACATGCAAGCAACATTGACGAATATTTAGTAAAAATTCAAATTTGTTTGCGTGAGTACATACGCGTACTGATAAACACACGAATTTCTTGATGCCATATTTAATATCAGAGTTACAATTATTGTCAACTCTTTACCCAGATAAATGTATAAATATTATTTTATTTATACTTTTTCCTGAAAAATATTAAGGTTTATTACGTGGGTTTTTTCTTCTTTGGAAGCGAGCGATGCATCAAATCAACCTTCTAGAACTTAATAGTTTTGTTTGTGAAGCGTAAACGGAGTGACAGATTTATTTAGGAAGATGTTAAAATATGAGTTTATTCATTTTAATATACTCCACAATCGTACAAAATACGTAAATTAAAAAAAAATTGTGATTAAAAAAAAAACGGATGCAAAACTGAGAACGTCAACGACAACTTCAACCAACCATCTGAGTCGATTGTTAAAGTCAAAAGAGATTATTGGTAGAACCAGTCTTTTAAGGCTAATTGTTCTGTTAATTCTAAATAATAGAATTTTATTATCTTTATAAAAGGCTTTAATTAAACTTTGGATTGAATTTTAACTAAATTAATACTTACAAAACTCGGGTAAAATGTAAAGTTGAGCAGATGCTTCAGCTTCTCCTTCATCATTAGTTGCTCTACACCAATATGTACCAACATCTGTCGATTTCGTCTGTATAAACTGTAACCAGCTGGATACTTCATACTTTCCATTCCTCGTATGCATTGCTATATGAGTGTTATCACCTATATAATTAATAAAAAAATCAATTAATAATTATACCAAAACTCTATAATAATACTACAAAAACTAATAAATAAATAATTTTATAAAAAATTTAATTTTCAGATAACGCGTATCGTCGCTTCGGTGTCGCTTCCTTTAAATTATGGAAATGAAATGATGGTGTAGCCTAACTACCTTAATATATACTTTTTTTTTATTTTTAACAATTCATACCTTGTTTTATTCACTTATATTTTTAAAATTAAAAAAACTTTTGTGTATTATTATCTGGATTGTGTTTTCTCTGTTAAGATCGATCCATAAAGTGAAAGTCATTAGATATCAATCCGAATTGAGATAAATTGTACAGAACATCAATCCCAGCAAGAATCTCACGTTGAAGCAAACAATTATCTCTAAATAATAGATGATAATAGTGTTTAAATCTTAGTTACGTACGGGATATACAAGCAAATATTAATGCTGTAACTCTGTGTTACTAACTCGATGTAACTTATTAAAGGAAGTACTAACGAAGTATTATCGTAAACATAAACTTAGGGAGTATTAAATTAACTAAACAGTATCTAAAATTACATTAATTCATTTACCTCATGAAATATTTTAAATTTATTTAATAAAATACTTTATATTTTTTTATAAGACAGAGATTTGACTTTCCCGTTTAGGCAGGTTTTCATTTTAGACAGGTTTTAAAGTACATCTACATTTTGCATAAGTACAGGGTGGCCCAAAACTCAGTTAACATTGTATTTCTTTTGTGTGCTTCGATAGAAATGTAATCATATGTTATATCATTTTAAGTATTTGAACGAGGCGACAATTTTGTCTTTAGGAGAGTTAACTGACTTTTGGCCACCCTGTATATAATTCACACTTTCTTATACACGGTTTTGTGTGTTGTTCGCGTATTAAAACGTGTCTGTAGATTAGATAAAACATTTAAGTTACATAAAGTAATCTTATTTATTTTAATTAATTATAACGCGATTTAATTATATTATGCAAATGTTCCTTTCGATAAAAACACATATTTGCCTTATATAAATGAGAAAATATATTAGATATAAATAATAAAATTTAATCCAGACAAAATTAATTATATTTATAAGCAGAGATATTCGGTTAGTAAGATAGAATATTGATAACTTCATCTTTATTTGTAGTATTGATTGATGTACTGTGATGAAACAGAAATGATTTTAGATATTATTTATTAATAATTAATTAAAAATTTGTACGTAGTAACACAAACACACATCCAAACACACGTAAACACAGAAAACACATACCCAAACACGCCTAAACAACGCACAAACATACACATTAAAGTTTGCTTCTTCTTCTTCTAGTGTTTATATGGAGATAATAAAAGTTTGCTAACAATAACCTTTTTATATATACTATGTACACAATACTTTATACTATTACTTACAAGTACTAGAATATCCTAAGAACTACTTAATTGTTCTTATGGTAACATCAAGATGAAAGATATTATATTTATCGTACACAATGTACCAAAACCTCGAGTTTAAATTGAAATATTTCAAATTCTTACCAGGTAAATCATTAAATATATTTCCTGATTCCTTTTTCCATTCGATATTTGGCAGTGGCCACCCGATAGCTTCACAGTAAAGTGCTGCTTGACTTCCAATTACGATAGGAATGTCAGTAGGTAGTGTTGTGATTTTTGGAGCTAAATTAAAAAAAAATAATAATAAATAAAGTTATATCTAAGAATTTAATATATTTATTGGTTTAATATACATTTAAAATGGATTTCTGTTACAAATTCTACTAAATAAGATAATTTTTTCAATAGAATCTTAATGATACTATTACAATAATAATAATGATATTTCAATAATATTACTAAGTAATCCTCTGTAAGAGTAGTAATTCTTAAAGAAAATTAATTAAAATTAAAATTACTTGCATAATTTTAAGAACTAACGAACCAAAATTATATTGGCACGAAAGTATACGCGCATTGGAACGTAAAATATGAATTATGTTTTTCCGTTTTATTTAATTTTCTATTTAATATTTTTTTTTTTTTTAAAAAGTCTAAAAAATTAAATAAGATATATCTAATTTAATTATAATTTTACTAATGCACTACTTAATTTTAATTGAAATTCTTATTTTTTATACTTGATATATATGGAGTCGTAAATTCGCAAAAGTAATTTTATTTTATTTTTTTTTTAATCAAATGTCATTTGAAAAATAAATAAAGTAAAATTGATTGGAATGAAATTAAAGATTTCATTCATGTTGAAATATTTTATTTAAAATGTAATTTTATTTAAAATGTAATTTAATTTAAGGAAATATTATGTAAACAGTAAGATACTTCTAATGTATTTTTAATGGATTAAGATTAGAATTCTATGAGAGACGATGGAATCCATCTTATCTTTATTTTTAAATTCGAATATCCGCTTTCAAACGTGATTGATCGAAGTTTGAATTTTTAAAATTTAATAAAATTATATTTATTTATTTCCTTAATAAAAAAGAAATAAATAAAAATAATAAAAAATATCATGTCCTCATCCGCATCTTTTTCATGGATGCGGATGAAGATGCAAGAGAATAAAACAAAATTGAAAACTATCTATAAGTAAACATGATTAAATATAAAATTTAAAAGTAATTATTTATAATTAATAATTTTAATATGCAGTAAAACCTGTACAAAACGGAAAAAAATTCTTCTGAACGGAGCGATTTTCTATGTTAAGAAAACCTGTCCAAGACGAAAATCAGCCAAACTGAAAAAAATATTCTTTACCATACGATTCCGGTTTATGCAGGTTTTACTGTTCTACATTATTTATTTAAAGATTATTGAAATATTTATAATCTTTATCATCATTATCAGTAATCCTTTGTTACAATATTAAATTAAAAATTGTATTTCCGAGTTAGAAAAATTTATGTTAATCGATTAGACCTGTGTAAGTCAGAATCGCACGAATCCGAATATTTTTTCCGCTTCAGCAGGTTTCCGTCTTGGACAGGTTTTTTTAACATAGAAAATCGCTCCGTTTCGAATAATTTTTCCGTTTTAGACAGGTTTAAACAAAAATAAATTTTAAAAAATCATCATCGTTATGATTATTGGATTATTGATGTAAAAAATTAATGTAGACGAATAGAAAAATGTAAGAATTTAAATTACAATGGTTAAAATTCATTAAATATTAATATTAATGTTTTAATAAATAATTATTTATTTATTTTAAACTGTAAAGTCAGGATAATAAAGACTATCATCCCCTTTAACAATAGAAATCCCTTATATAAAAACCGTGTAACTAACAATACAATAAACAAAATACACATTCGATATCCTTCTTTATTTCTTTCTAATTATGTTTGATTTGTATCAGTCTACTTTCTAGACTGATACTGTAACTAATATCATCAGATATAACAAGAATAATCATACTTGATGCAATCGCAGCCAATATAACGAGACACACTATACCTAACACTAGAACGACTATGGTGTATATAATATAATTAGATTAGTTATAGAGATAAACAAGATTATTTATAGTCAATTTATCTTGTTAAATCACAACTAATGCAGCTAAAATAACAAAAGTGTTACAATAAAAACAATTGTAAATTTAGTTAATGTAACTAGTTATAGGAAATAATTACATTTTCAATTGGATCTATATAGATATTTAATGCATAACCCTTGTGATGTGTACTGTAAACATATGATTTATATGAAATTTTATTATAATATCAAACTAATTGCTTTCTAAGTAAAGTACTTTTCAAGTGACAACAGCAATTATTTGATAAAATTGTGCTTTCTAAGGATAAACAGTTGAATTAGTAAGAAAAACACAGCTTAATTATACTATTTCAGCTAAAAATTTGCAAGGTAATGTTATTGTAGACTATCACTTTCAAGTTTTCAACGTATAGTCATGAATAGAATTATTCAAGAATGTTAATTTCCCACCCCCTAAAATGCGTGACCCTATATAATTTATTATAGTCAATTTAAAAGTAAAGCTAAATTCCTAATGTATTTTACAGCAATTCAGCTTCTTCAATTTGTTAAAATTTTACAATATTAAATAATTTCAACGTTAAAAATCAAGTAACGAGTTGCATAACTTTCCCGGCTAAAATAGTCAAAATTGTGTGTGACGCCATCTGTTACGAAATTTTATTAAAAGCTTAATTTTAGAAGGTAAGAGATGGGTTTTATAGAGAAATTGTAAATAGTAATTATGAGTGAAATCTTCGTTAAGTCCGACGTATGATCCCCTCTATCTCCCCACCCTCTTGACCTTTAACCATCAAAATTTAATAGCGTCAATAACCCTAATACATTGACCTCCCGACAAAATTTCAGAGATATTCGACAAAAAAGATATGATTTATTAAGGTTTAAATTTGCAAGATAATGATATTTTGTTATTCCCAATTCTCAATAGGTAAGTTTTATATAAATTTTCTAAAATAAAGTAAGGATGAGCTTCTGAAAAATACATACAGTCGACCCCCTATAACACTGTTGATTATTCCGTTTTATATGAATTCCA